CAGACCCCCAGCTGATGGAGCAGGTTGCCCTTGGGATGGTGCAATGCCCAAGAATCCCTTTGCTGAAGACTGATCTTAGCCTGCCTCTTGACTCGTGGTGGCACAGGGACAGAGGGGAGAGGCTGGTGGCTCTTCCAGCCTGCAAATGTGTTTTCCCGACCCATCTCCGAGCTACATCCCAAAAACATGCAGAGGTGTTCCCATCAAAGGGAATGCAGGGCAACGAGAAGAGGTAATTAGGCAGATTTGCAAAGGGGAAGGAAAGGATGAAAGAAAAGTTATTCTTCTGAGGAGATTAAAACCAGAGGAATGGACATGCTCTTTGGAGCATTTGAGTAGTTTAATGTCTGGTAATAACTAATTAATTAATAATCACTGGTAGCAATGAGGGCCAGACTTTCATTTCTATTAAATGGTGTGGTTGGACTTATTCTGAGGTGATTTACACCAAGTTCCTGACTCAGCACATCCACAGAACCCATCCTGGATGTGATTTATAGCAACTTCTAAAGTAAAAACTAGATGGCTTTGATCCAATTGATTTCTTTGACTCCAACAGGATAAATAAGCAGGCACCAGACCAGGTCTTTGAAGAGCAAAGGGTGGTTATTATAATTTTTAATTATATTTTTTTGCCTCGATATCTCTCTGTGCTCTTTCTCTCTGCATCTAGAAATGGATATCGGGCTGTGCCAAGTGCCAAGTGTGGCTTTGGCCCTGGATAGATTTTATCCTGATCTTGCATTCAGTGCTGTGCTGTCAGCTTTTCTGCCATGGGAGTGTGAGACTGAGAGCAGCATCCAGGGAGAGTTATTTGTTTTCTGATACTTTCCCTGGGGTTTCCTGTTCTTGTCGTCTCTCTGATTTATTTTCCTTTTTTATTTTTTTTCCCTGTTTTATTTTTCTTTTGGATGAGGTTACTTCAGTTGATGTATGGCCCAGATCTGTCCTAGTCTACTTTGAAAGCCAGGAAATGAGTAAAGATGGACTTTGGGATTGGAAGTGATGTTAAGGCAAATGTTTTCACACTTCTGAAGGCAGCTGAGATTCCTTGGGGCAAAGGGTGCCTGTGGGTGTGCACAGATGTGATGATTTCAGGAGGAGAGCTCTGACCATTTCTGGTTGGTGTGAAAGGCTGCAAAGTTGAGGAGAGAGTTAAGGATGAAAGGCCAGGCTGGGAGAGCTGGGCTTGTTCAGCCTGGAGGAAAAAAAAAAAGCTCTGTGGAGATCTGAGAGCCCCTTCCAGTGCCTAAAGGGGCTCCAAGGGAGCTGGAGAGGGACTTTGAACAAAGGCATGGAAAGACAGGACAAAGGGGAATGTCTTTAAACTGACAAAGGGCAGGGTTGGATTAAATATTAGGAAGAAATTCTTCCCTCTGAGGGTGGGGAGGCCCTGGCACAGGTTGCCCAGAGTAGCTGTGGCTGCCCCATCCCTAGAATTGCTCAAGGCCAGGTTGGATGGGGCTTGGAGCAACTTGGTCTAGTGGAAGGTGTCCCCGCCCATGGCAGGGGGTTGGAAGCGGGTGATCTTGAAGGCCCCATCCTGACCTGACCATTCTATGATTCTATGAGTCTATAATACAAATTAAAAACTTGAAAAATATAAGACAGGGGAAAAAAAAGGTGTAAGAATTTCATTCTTCAGAACGGTGAAAATTAATAAAAAGGAAAATTTAGAGTCTACTAAAACCAAAATAAATCCTAACGGTATTGGTTTGTTACTAGCTGGAAATGACAGATTTATTTATAATAATGCAGGAATTTCAATAAACTCCTGTATTCTGTAATTGGAAGAGAGCCTGGTTACTTAATCCACATCCCAGGCTAATGAAATACTTGTCATTACAGCAGCAGCTTGAACACATGCTATACATCATCTAATAAAGTGAGATGTGTGGAAGAGAAACAAGACAGAGCAATTTTGTGTGCAAGGATTTTAAAAGAGCAGGTTTAAGACTAATTGGGGATCATTGCTCTTTAGGAAAAGAAAGGTAGAAGGACTCCCAAAATCTGGAGATAGGAGAATGTGCCTGTAAGAGCAGCAGCCTCACATCTGTCTTAGGCACAATAACACAACATCTGATAGAGGATCCAAAAATTAGGGGATTGTGGGTAATATTATGATTATAATTGAATAATAGCACGCTCATTAAAACAGAGGAATTAATAGCAATCAACTTATGGAAAATAGATTTTGTCAAGCTCAATTAATACTTTCTATGAGAATACAGAGCTGGTTGGTAGAGTCTGAATATTTGTCATTATTTGTACACATCATAAATACGGCATTTTTTTTCTGGGTGACAGTGAATAAACAGAACAACTAAATAATGCAGATCTTGGAAATATGAGCAGTACATATAGGGGAATTCGGTTTTCCTCTGGGTTTGGCCTTGGATCTCCCAGTCCCTTCCAAGAAGGATGTTGGTGAATGGCAGAAGGTGGATGGAAGAGACCAGAGAACAACACCAGGACTCGAGAACCTCCAAGAGATGATGTGACTTAGCAAGGATCATGTGAAGAGCTGCCTATCCAGGGGAAACAGATTTATATCCTAGAGATGGGTGGACATGGAACAGAATAATGGAATGGTTTGTGTTGGAAGGGACCTTCAGGATCATCTTGTCCAACCCCCTGCCATGGGCAGGGACACCTTCCACTAGCCCAGGTTGCTCCAAGTCCTATCCAATCTGGCCTTGGACAATTCCAGGGATGAGGAGTCCAGACATTTAGTAGGTCCAGACATTTAGAAAGCTCTGGATGAGCACTAGGGAAAAAAAAAAATGTTCTGTGTGTTGTTGACAACTCCTACAGATAAATTAATTTGGCTTTTTTACTATTTTATTTTTTTAACTGTGAAAAGTGCTTTAATCCAAGCCACCAGTAATTCAGGAAGGCTCAGTGCTACGAGTTAAACAGGATCTGAGTAGATAATCACACCAGGATCAGAGGGACGTGCTGATGTCCTGTTCCCTGTTGGTTCCCAGCCCGTTGTCCCACAGGGAGGTGAAGGGAGGCTCCGTCTCGTTGCGTGAGGAGCAGGTCAGTGTGTGCACAGAGCCCAGACCTGCCAAAAACTTGTCTGTAAGTCAGGGCAGTCTGCTGGAGTCAGCAGCACCGAGATGTCCAGGCCATCTGTGACACACCTAAGGCTGCTGAGCAGCTTGGCTCCATCTGGAGCTGCCATGAGCTCGCTGCTGGCACCGCTCCTCTGGGGATGGTCAGCTGTGGAGAGGGGACATCTCTCACCCGTGTCCCTTCAGTGAGGGCATATGGCCCTTTTGCTCTGGCCCCACAGCCTGGCCCAGGCTCTCGTGAAGCCCAGGTTACCCACGTGGATCCTGAGCTTCACCCCCTCCCTTTCATTCTGGACTTTCTGCATTTGCATTCCGTACGTGACCATGTTTCAGGAGAGGAGATTGGACAAGGCACAGGAGCAATGGGTGGGAAATGACTGTGCTTTTTAGGTGCTGACTGTACTTTTTGGGGGATGGCTGTACCCCAGCACGTGAGACAGAGACTGAGATTCCACTTTTCCCTGGCTTAGCCCTTCGTGCTCACTTAAACAGAAAAGGCTGGGGAGAGTTAAGGATAACAGACCAGGCTGGGAGAGCTGGGCTTGGTCAGCCTGGAGAGAAAAAAAAGGCTCTGTGGAGACCTTAGAGCCCCTTTCAGTGCCTAAAGGGGCTCCAAGGGAGCTGGAGAGGGACTTGGGACAAGGCATGGAGGGACAGGACAAGGGGGAATGGCTTCAAACTGTCAGGGTTGGATTAAACATGGTATTCTCACGTGGAGATGGGGCTGCAATAACTTTTCCTGATGAAATCATCCCACCTGTGGGATGAAGGCAAACTTCACATGGAGACTTTGTCACTTATGACCCCTCCCCTGCTCTGCTGCTCTTCCCCAGCCTGAAAGGATGCCACGGAAAAGCAGGAACTCTGTGCCTTTGACCTCTTGAGGTCCCTCTGGCCATGAAACAGGAACATCCCTGCCATGCCCAGAGCTCTGGGATGAGGAGGTTCCTGGCCTGGCCTTTGGAGACCTCGGATAGAAACAACTGGGATGGAACAAGGGGATGGGTGGAGTCACATACTGGGGTTCATACACTTCTATATGGGGTGTTGAGCAGAGGGGTGGGGGGGTATATGGGATGAGAGACAGGGCTGAGGGGGGTGCAAGGAGTAAACCAGGTCTGTTGGACAAGCCTATGGAGTTATGCATCCACATGTTGGATATGTGGTACTGGGACACAGGGATGGGGGGAGTTGCATTTGGGTTGTGTAGGACAGAGATATAGGATTATTTATCCATATGTGGGGTGTGTCACGAGGATGTAGGGTTGTGCATCCACATTATGAGTGCCTAGGAGACAGCCAGAAGGTTGTGCACCCATATATGGGATAAGTGGAACTGGGCTACAGGGTTAAGGAGGTGTATATGGAATATGTGGAAAAGGGCTATAGGGTCAGGGAGGTATATATGGGGTATGTGGGAAAGG